AATTTTAAAAAAAAAAAAAAAAAGTAATGTACCCACTGTGGGGTGTTGATCCAGATGATGCCCAGGTGACAGTAATAAACACATTCCCTGTCCTTAAAGGAGTAGCAAGTGCAGCGCTTGGATCTTGTGCGGGTGTGTGATGCTGAAATGAGCTCTGCTTCTGTCTGCTGATGTAAAACACTGTTCGGATCATCAGAGAAGATCGGAGATGAGTGCAGGTCTCCTGTCCTGGATAATGATGCACCTTTAATTTGAACAATAATCAATCATTATCAAAGGGCATAGCCTAATGTCCAAGCACACTTAAATGTGTGTGTGTGTGTGTGTATATATATATATATATATATATATATATATATATATGATGTCTATGTAAGACAATGATTATTTTTGTGACTTTTGGTTTTGTGTAAATACCGTTATTCTAATTTGTGATTCTCATTACTGACAACATAATGTAATACAGTTTTATTGTTTCACTGCACAAAAATAGTTCTATCACTATTATTGTTGTTGTTGTTAATAATAATATGACAATACATTCGTAGATTAACACAATTATTTTTATATTATAATTATAATAAGAATGATTATTATTACCATTATAATTACATTACACTATTGAGCAAAGAAAATGAAAATGTGCTTAATTTTCATGACAATAATGTCACAATGCAAAAAGGCGTATATAGCGTAGCTTAAATTAAATTGAAGCCATCATTTATTCTGTCTTGTGATCTGGTGACCCACAATTAGCCACATAACAGTCGATAATGAGGAAAGACATAAGAACTGAATGACATATGTAGGCTAAATAAAACTTAAAACTAGTCAAATAGCAAACTATTAATGGCTCCTATAAATTATAAACCCACTTTACTCATGTAAAACTCACAAGAAAACAGTGGTTCAGTATAGTTGGAACACTTACCCACGGTGAAAATGTTTAACAAACTCACAATTAACAAAAGAGCACCAGGAAACTGTTGTGCCATGTTGCCAGCGTCCTCACTGAGCGCGCAACCAATATCAGACGCGGTATCCGAGATTCTAAATTAAAAATGTCTTCCAAAAAGATTCCACTTCAGTCCACAAACCACTTCTGAGCATCCTCTTCTTCATCTCTGAGAAAGCTCCGGTGAAACGGGAAAAAAGTTTTTTTTAACGGTCAGACAAAATGTATATTTATAGCGCGTGTTGACACCACCCACAGACACGAGTTCAGAGGAGCGACCGATGCTCTGAAACAAGACAGATCATGTCAGCATGATATTACAAAAGTAACGCGCTTAGGAATTTGGATACGTCCCTTTATAGTCCATCTTTTGTGTATAGATATCCTAAAACAGGCCGTTATTTACACTCCATTGTCTTTTTACACTTCAGGAATTTTAGCACTAATCATTCTCAGCTTTGAGGAATTCGCTCACGCTTATATAGCTACCTAGTCCATTATTTATTATTTTACCTTAATAGCTGGAAGACATTAAGGTTGGCCTCTTGAAAACCAATCATATGGTTTCTGGTCTACCTCAGGTTTACAAAACTGTAGAATAATAAATTGTGGCATTTAACAACCCTCACTTTTATTGCAATGATCTTGTGTGCACAGTGACTTCCCACAGTGGGAATGTTAATTATAATGTGGCACTATAAGGCATTTTATAAGGTTTTGGAAGGTAGTAAAGAGGAACTCCAAGAATCCACTTTTCTTCACAATATGCTAATGTACTTAGTCACCCTTATTAAATTATATTAAAGGAACAGTTCACCCAAAAATGAAAATTAGTTGAAAATGTGTATGCCCTCAGGCCATCCAAGATGTAGATGAGTTTGTTTCTTCATCAGAAAAGATTTGGAGAAATGTAGCATTACATCACTTGCTCACCAATAGAACTTCTGCAGTGAATGGGTGCCGTCAGAACGAGAGTGAGTGAGTTTTCATTCTGGGGTGAACTATTCTTTTCAGTGGGTTCACACCTAATTCTTTAAGTGTTTTATTTGAAAGAATTTTTCAAGAATTTATAAATATAAACGCATTTATACAGTATGTTGCATTTGAAGGTCTTACACTGACCTACATCAGTGGTTTCTATGCAGGAGGCTGAAGAGTGAAACATTTTTCCTTTAATCCACAAAATACCATAGAGTCATTTCAAAGCAAATAAACATTTTTGCCCACCTCAGTGTCCTGCTGACCTCAATTTCCTCTTCAGTGTTAAGTTTGACGGCCAGTATCCCTCAGAGAATTTCAAGCCCTTTATAAATCTCTTCAGGGTCTGGCGGTGTTGTTTATCAGCTAAACTTTTGTCATTTAGGTCACACTATTAAAAGGTAAGACACTTCTGTGATATTTAGTTCACAGTGTACCCAGATTTAAAGGAACACTCCACTATTTTTGAAAATAGGCTCATTTTCCAACTCCCCTAGAGTTAAACAGTTGAGTTTTACCATTTTTAAATCCATTCAGCCGATCTCCGGGTCTGACGGTAGCACTTTTAGCTTAGCTTAGCATAGATCATTGAATCTGATTAGACCGTTAGCGTAGTACACGATGTAACTACAGAAGTGTCGAGTTTTAAATAGGAAAAATATAGAAACTATTTGGTCATTTTTGAGCGAGATGCTAATGGTCTAATCAGATTCAATGATCTATGCTAAGCTAAGCTAAAAGTGCTACCGCCAGACCCAGAGATCGGCTGAATGGATTCGAAAACGGTAAAACTCAACTGTTTAACTCTAGGGGAGCCTATTTTCAAAAATTGTGGAGTGTTCCTTTAAAAAAAACATAGTTTTTTTTATTCTGTGTTGTATCTAATGTTCTATTCCTGACTGATAAAATAGCCTATTAGATAGACATGCTATTATTTTAATGCAAAAGGACACATTTACTTATCTGAATTTCATAAGGGTCTTGGCAGAAGCTGTATTTGGGCACGGGACATGCCTATCCCTATCCCTAAATCAAACCCACAAACATCAGGAAGTTTTCCCATCCAGCACCCTGGTTAACTGCAGTGGAGAAAGAGGAAATCCACACCAATTATATGGGGAAAAAACAGAACAGAAACAATTCACTCACAAGCATCTCTCATTTTTGTGGACAGTGGGAAATAAGGAGTTTTTCATATCAGTTGCTGTAATTTTGCAATTATTGCAAAGTGATTGTAATTCAGAAATACCCGTAGTCTGACTGCGCATTAATTCAGATCAAATGTATATCAAATATTACATAACCACTTCATATCCAATAAAAGTTGGACATTTTATAAATTGCTATATCCTTTGCGGCTATAATTTCCAAAGGTGTTTATCTAACAACAAACAATGTTTTCATAAGCACTAAGAGTTATTATGATGAAAAACATTTTTGGAGCCAAACTCCTGGGGACATTTATGTATGCTCTGCCTGGAGGTTTGAATGTTTAAGAAGCTCTGCCTCAAAAGCCACTAAGTACATGCAAGGAAAATATATGTTACATCAGTATTCAAACATATATGCACAAAGCAAACACAGTTTGATTACAGCCAAGTAAAACACCATGCACTTGAAGCTTTGCCCAGTCCCAGCTGTGAAACTATACAGAAAATCTAGTTTAATCACTTTCCTGACCCTACCATGGCATGACTTTAAATAAATATAGGCTAGTAAAAGTGCCCTTTCTATAGACTAAAACATTTTTCTTAACCGAAAACCTGACACCTCATTGAGAAATGTAATATTTTGCAGAAGTTTGTTGTTTTAGTGTAGAGAGATTATAAAATATAATTTGTTATGGAGAGAAACTCAAGAAAAACTAAAATCTTAATCTCCAATAAATATACTGGATATTTTCATCAAAAATAATTCCACAGATTCTTCTATTTTTCAAATAAATTTCCCAAATTTCACATATAAAGGAAAGAATGTGGGTCTTTATTTATTAAAAAATCTATACTAACAAGCTATGAGGAAGAGACTAGCTCTTGAAATTATAGGATTCTGAAAAATCCAGCATTGCTTCTTAATTAACAAAATGTAAAATATGTACAGTTATAAGTACATACATGTCCCTAATGAATCTGATTTTAGATTGTTACCAGCATGTAATATGGATTCAAGATGGTCACATTTTATTTCATTGGAGGAATTTGAATTAAATATACCTCAGGGTACATGCCAGGCTGAATTTTACACAGATGAAAATGAGGCTGTGAATGACAGATTAATAGTCTTTACAATTGCATGCACTGCATAAAAGTTCTAGATCGCATAATTATAATAAACAGACAAACAAACAAACAAACAAACACTAATGACTTTCAAAAATAAAGTTTTTTTCAGCTGAAAAATGTGCATGTTTTAAACAACAGTACAGTCCATTGAACGTGTTGTAGTACTACCCCATCACCCAGTCAAATATGGATGATTATGGCACTATAAGTCTAGAAATGCACATTGTAACAATAACTGACATCTGAAAAGACTTTATTTTCTGCAGTTAGCTTTCACTGTTGTGCAGACGGCACATCTTTATATTTCCTCTAGACCAGATAAAATTTCACAGTTTTCCACAGATGGTACAGAACATTTAACAAATGATGCCAAGTAACTTGTGCTAAACTCTGATAAAGCAAAAGTACTAGTCATTGGTCCAAATCTCTGTGTAGGTAGTTCAACTGTTATATCATCCTATACAGTCTCTAGAACAGCATTCTTTCACTTAATAAATTGGAATGATCTTATTCAAGATGCTGGACAGGCACGTGCACACATAAACATCAAAGGGGGCTTTGAGCACCTGCCCTTTTTCTTCCTCGAGAGAAAGTGGCCTTTTTTCTGGGGAGTTCTTTTTTTTTTTTTTTCAAAATAAATTAATATATATGTGTGCGTGTTACTATTTGATCACAGCTTTCCCTGTCAAACAAATAAAAAACGAAATATCAGGTCGGGTCAGGAAATGTTGAGACTCTGATCGGCACATCACAGTCACAGACAGAGAACCGCAGCGGCAGAAGTGAACCCTCCCTCTCTTTCCAGTTGTGTTTGTCTTGATGTGGAGGTGCGTGGTGATGAACAAAAGACTAAGCTACCGGTGCCTCGAATTTAAAGCTAATTATTAATGACAAAAAGCAAATGTAGTTAATTTGTCTGGCTAACATCCATGACTCATGAGAGCTACCATGTAAGTTAGCTAAAGTTTAGCAGGTTAGACCACTCCACGTTCTTTCACTGCATGATTCAGTTTATTAAAATGCATTTAGAATGATCACAAAATTCAAGCTATCAGGGCAGAAATGTATATTTATATCATTCCATATAGTTAATCAGTATCACGCGAAGACTGACGTTTTTTCCACCAAAAAGCAGCATGATTACAAATGTGATATTGATTTTATACAGCAGTTCAATAAACAAGAATTTAATATTAAGACACTTACGTTTTAGACACAATATTGACTGTTTTTGCTCTATTTCGCCAACAAATATAATTCCAATTTGGTCTCTGAGCAACATGACGCTGTTTTGTTCCTGAATGAATCAACCGTTTAAATGATTCGGTTCAGTCGCAATGACTCACTTATTAACAGTGACTTGCTGCCTCCTACTGGCAGTTTTAGTTTCATAGTTAAAGTATTTTCTTTTTCTTTCTTTTATTTTTAAATAATTTCAAATATCAGTATTGAACGTTTTATGTTTAAAATATCAAAACAGTATTAAAGCATTTGTAACTGCAGGTTATGCAGGTTACTGCAGGTGCCCCTAATATATTTTTATGTTTTATTTAGAATTTTTTTTAAATAAATATGAGAAGTGCCCTTTTCCCACTTGAGCCCCTGCCCCTCAAAATGTCTGCACGTCCCTGATGCTGGATGTCCAGGTGTCTCCATAAATAAGCTCCAGATCGTTTAAAATGCAGCCAGTGAGAAAATATGAAAGGCCTAATATCAGTCCAATATTATCATCACTCAACTGGTTACGTTAGTTACAAAAAACTCACTTATTGTGGCGTTTGAAAGGTGCTACAGTATTTTTCATACAACTCCTTTGGAAGAATATGTATTTTTAAAAAGCACTAAAAATGAAAGTGAATTGAATTGAATTCAATAACAATGTTTATCTTCAGTTAAGTAATATGTTGGCTTCATCTGAATAACAAAAAGGAGCTAGTTAGTGAAAAATTAGGTGTGGAAGGGAGTTTTTTTTCGAAAACCATATTGTCTTTCATTACTGAATTGTACTCTAGGAATTCTAGCCATCAAAATATATGAATGAAATCAAACAACAAACCACCTACCTGTGCCAGAGAGCTGACCAAATGAAAAGCCTCTGTGACCCGAAGCTACAGTGAATAGGATCTGT